GGCGGCTGCAATAGACATCAATTTTTTCATCATGGGTGTCATTTTCATGGTTTTCGAGGGTGTTGAAGCCGATAGTGCTGTCGAAATGTAAATCCAAGATGGCGGATGCAAAAGATATCAATTTTTTCATCTTGGGTGTCATTTTCATGGTTTTCGAGGGTGTAGAAGCCGATAGTGCTGTCGAAATGTAAATCCAAGATGACGGCTGCAATTGGTATCAATTTTTTTCATCAAGGTTTCGAGGGTGTTGAAGCAGATAGGGTTGTCGAAATGTAAATCCAAGATGGCGGCTGCAATAGATATCAATTTTTCCATCATGGGTGTCATTCTCATGGTTTTCGTGGTTGTTGAAGCCGATAGTGCTGTCGAAATGTAAATCCAAGATGGCGGCTGAAGTAGGTACCAATTTAGTCATCATGGGTGTCATTTTCATGGTTTTCGAGGGTGCTGAAGCCGATAGTGCTGTCGAAATGTAAATCCAAGATGGCGGCTGCAATAGATATCAATTTTTTTCATCTTGGGTGTCATTTTCATGGTTTTCGAGGGTGTTGAATCCGATAGTGCTGCCGAAATGTAAATCCAAGATGGCGGCTGCAATAGACGTCATTTTTTTCATCATGGGTGACATTTTCATGGTTTTCGAGGGTGTTGAAGCCGATAGTGCTGTCGAAATGTAAATCGAAGATGGCGGCTGAAGTAGGTACCAATTTTTTCATCATGGGTGCTGTCGAAATGTATTTAAACTACTTTCAAAAAATTCCGTATAATCATGCTATACGTAATTTTTTTAATGCGAAGGCATGCTCAATTGGATTTACCAATATTTACTATATGACTTCTAAATATCTAAAGTCTAAGTTTTTTGTGCATGTAAGGTTTAGATTTAGATTAGATTGATTTCTACAGTTTGCTCAACAGAGAGGCTCACAATATCCTTACGTTTTTTACTTATTAATAATTTATTGGCTAATATTAGGGAGCCACCGCCTAATTTTTTTCTCTTTTAAAGCAACTGACCACCTGGTGTTTACTGAAATGAAACATATTATAGTTATAATCTTTTAACCAATGTCAGTTATACAAAAAATATGTATGTTGTTACTATTTAAAAACAATTCAATTCCTAATTCTTTGCCCAACATGCCTTGCATATTTTGGTGCACCAGGTGTATACAATTTTTATAATTGTTTTTGTGAGAAGTTATACCATTAACTAGTTGTGAGCTACATTCTGGATAATTTAAATTGTTACTATGATTCCTAGAGTTTACCTCTATTGTATCATTTTCTAATTTAAATTACTTGGAACTGATTTCAAATTCAATGTAAAGTCATTACACTGCTCAATATAATAGAAGCAGATGTCTGGGTAGGTATCATTATAATTTTTACAATTAAATATCAAATTTAAATTACTATTACATGTTAAGTTATTCATTATTACATTAAATTATATCTTAGAGTATTTTCCTGTGGCCACCCCTGTAAGTAAGGCAATGTGAACATGATAACTTTATATACATTTAAGTTATTAAGATAATTCAATTTGATTTTTGTTCACATTACCTCTTCTTCCAACAATAGTGATTAATTTAGTATTGGGGTAAAATTTCCTAGTTAAAATTTTATTTATTATTTGGCTTAATGATGCTCCAGGCATGCAATAATTATTTATCTGTTGCCCTTTTAAATAGTTATTTAATGATATTCCCAAATTTTTACCTATGTCATCACTATACACAATAACTATATTTTTTTCATTATCTGAATTACTTCTTAGTTTTTTTTATAGTACTGTCGTAGACAAAGAAGAAAGAGTCTAGAAAATGAGTCAATATTGCTTGTTGTGTTATTAACACACACTGTCCCTGAAGAACCAAGCACTGATACTCATTTTGATGCTTTAATAAGGAGTCAAAACGTTTTACGTTATATTTACATGACTTTACCAGATTATCCATGGCCAGTATGTGTTCTATTATCTCATTCTATGCTGATTTATTTTTATTCGACATAATTTGTAATAAGGTTTGAAAAGATAAAATTTCTTAATTAAGACTCTCATAACAATTTTTCATGTTTTTCACCTAAACTGAATAGAATTTAAGTTTGTTAAATAATTCTTGCTTTTCTTTACACGCTTTTATATAATTTTTAGTATTAATTTTGGTTTTAATTAATTTTTGCATTCTTCTAATATATTTATTAATTTTTATTTATGTCCTTAATTTCTCTCTACTTTTCTTCTGTTCCATTCTGCTGTTCTTGATGTGACAGAATTATCACCAGTCAAATCCATTGAATTGCATTCTACAAGCTCGTCGAACAGACTCTGAGTTTGGCATGCTTGCAAGTTGTCTATAAATTGTTTAAATTGCAAAATTTGCTCATTAGCCTTAGTTAACTGTAATTGCAATGCAGCAATTAATCTCAGGGATTCCTCATAATCCTTGCTGCATCGGTCAAACTCATCGACTGTCTCCTGGTGCTGATCCCTTTCCTTTAAAATATCTGTATAGTCTCTATATAACTTTACCATATCACTTTTTAATTGTGTATTTTTCGAAATTATACTTATTATTTCCTTTTCATTGTCATCCCTTTCTTTAAGCAACGGCTCACACTGCTCCTTGGACGCTTTCAGTTCTTGGAGAGCAAGATGAAGTTGGTTCTCCATCTGGCGCGTCTTGGCGTTGCGAGTACTCATTTTATTATGTATTATAAATAGTAAAAGGAAACAAAAATGGAAAATCAAAGAAACAGAGTAAGCAAATGTCTAATTATTGGTAGGACTTTAACAGATCTCATATCAAATTATCAAGAAAACAATTTAAAATGAAATTCGCAAACAACAACAATTCTTTTATGTTATGTCGTAAATATGAAAAGGGATAACAAGAATTACAGTAACTTTAAAACTTTAAACGAAGTACGTTCCCTGGTGTCACTTGTATGTACACAATACATTTATTTATTTAGATATTGACGACTTTTACAAATTACACAATACAAATTGGTCGTAATTCACAACTAAAACTCAAGTTTGAGGTGGAAATTATCAAATTATAATATTTAATTTTTCGAAATTATTTGGGAATAAATCATTAAATCAATTTGTCACCTGGGTTGCCACAGAGAAAAAAAAAATATTGTAATTATTATTGTGTCTGTTAACAGGACAGTAAAATAGTTAAAAAATTACTCAACCTCATTGAATATTATTCATTGCAGTCGAGTCGTTTTTTAATTGTTGGACATCGACACAAGGCGTTCCAAGCAAATGCCAAATTCTTTCCGCGAGCATCATAATAGATTTAATACAATAAATAATTGTAGAACCACAACACGTTGTTTGCATTTATTTACTTTTTGTTTCTAATAATTTTGTAACATTACAAATATATAGGAGTATGCGCTTGTTAATTTCATGTAGTTCTCAATAAAATATCCATATAATATGGAATTACGATCGATCATGTATCTCGTCGCTGCAGCCATGGCCCTTCTTTTTCTACCTACAACCTTCACAACTATAAAAAGTATGCTGTTACACCTATAAATGTATACGAATTTAATGACTTGCGCACTTAAAAATACGTGAAATTATTAGGGATACTTGTAGCCACAAAGGAACAAGCAAACACAAAGAATGGGTTCTTCTTCACGTATGAATTATATAATATTTTCAGATGTTTATTACTATTGATTTGATCATTGACCTATTACTAAATGAACCATATATACTAAAGTAGCTGTTCCCCGCGACTTCGCCCGCGTGTTTTTTGGGGATTTAATTTTTTTGCGCGTAACCCTAATTCTTTTTCTAAAATAAAAGTAGCCTAAATTACTCCTTGTGACATCAGCTATCTGCTAGTGAAAATCCCGTCAAAATCGGTCCAGCCGTTTCGGAGATTAGCCGGAACAAACAGACAGACAGACTGACAGACAGACAGATAGACAAAAACTTTAAAAATTGTATTTTTGTTATTAGTACCGTATATACTTTCATATGAATTTAGTAAAAAGCAGTAATTTCGATATTACAAACAGACACTTCAATTTTATTTATTTGTATAGATGAACTGCGAGTATAGAACAAAATTCACGCCAAATGTGTCTCGAGTCAACCTATATAAGCATAGGTACATAATCTTTATATATAAAAATTACGTGTCACGTTGTTTGTCCGCGATGGACTCCTAAATTACTGAACTGATTTCAATGAAATTTTGCACACTGTGTGCAGTTTGGTCCAACTTGAGAGAGGATAGTTTTTATCCTGATAAGAGACACTCAATATTTTTTTAATACGAATTTAAGGATTTTTTATATGAAGGGTCGTCGGAAAAGGACAATACAGCCTGGCGAGGTAGTAGAAATATAAAAAAAAATATATCCTAATTCAAACCATATTGTCATTAGAATACTGCTCAATTTTACTTGCCACAATTTATCAGACTTCGACTACAGGTCGCTCTATTTTTACTTTATGCAGCTTCTAGCGAAACTTGTAGGTATGGTTGAATGAATTTAAATCAAATACTGTGATTCTAAGGCCCGCCATATACATACGGAATTCCGTTTCGAGATTCCGTTTCGATATTCCGATTCGGAATCCCGAACGCAGCAAGTCCATATAAAATCTATGACCCGTCACACACGTACGGTAGTTTTCCGTTCGATATTTTGCGGGTAAAACGGGATTCCGTTTGTGTGTGGCCGACCCATTCGAAATTCCGAAACGGAATCTCGAAACGGAATTCCGTATGTATATGGCGGGCCTAAGTCAAATATTACTTTTAAATGATTAAATATTAATATCGGTAATATGATATCTACACCATCCTATTTTCTGTATGACGTGTGTTAAGTCGGTCGACAAAAAGAAGACTTGCACGCTATTGGAACTATATTTGCATTTTGGAACTCTTTTGGCCCGAAAACTTTTGAGCGCGAACCTGAGGTAAATTTAATAGTGGGTGAATGGATTTAACTTTCAGAATCAGTGCACTGCGGAGAGCAGCGAGCTGTTCGTGAATTGCCTGGAGGCGATGGTGGAGACGTGCCTGCCCGGGGACGACTCGGTGCGGCCGCGCGCGCCGCCGCCCGACCCCGACTGCCCCGAGCCGCACGACGCGCACCGCTACGCAGGTAGGCAGGCAGGCAGGTACCGCTACACGTGCCTGTCGCTACACACGCTCTAGCTACACTATGCTTGTAGCGCGAGTGGCTCGGCGACCCCGACTGCCCCGAGCCGCACGACGCGCACCGCTACGCAGGTAGGCAGGCAGGCAGGTACCGCTACACGTACCTGTCGCTACACACGCTCTAGCTACACTATGCTTGTAGCGCGAGTGGCTCGGCGACCCCGACTGCCCCGAGCCGCACGACGCGCACCGCTACGCAGGTAGGCAGGCAGGCAGGTACCGCTACACGTGCCTGTCGCTACACACGCTCTAGCTACACTATGCTTGTAGCGCGAGTGGCTCGGCGACCCCGACTGCCCCGAGCCGCACGACGCGCACCGCTACGCAGGTAGGCAGGCAGGCAGGTACCGCTACACGTGCCTGTCGCTACACACGCTCTAGCTACACTATGCTTGTAGCGCGAGTGGCTCGGCGACCCCGACTGCCCCGAGCCGCACGACGCGCACCGCTACGCAGGTAGGCAGGCAGGCAGGTACCGCTACACGTGCCTGTCGCTACACACGCTCTAGCTACACTATGCTTGTAGCGCGAGTGGCTCGGCGACCCCGACTGCCCCGAGCCGCACGACGCGCACCGCTACGCAGGTAGGCAGGCAGGCAGGTACCGCTACACGTGCCTGTCGCTACACACGCTCTAGCTACACTATGCTTGTAGCGCGAGTGGCTCGGCGACCCCGACTGCCCCGAGCCGCACGACGCGCACCGCTACGCAGGTAGGCAGGCAGGCAGGTACCGCTACACGTGCCTGTCGCTACACACGCTCTAGCTACACTATGCTTGTAGCGCGAGTGGCTCGGCGACCCCGACTGCCCCGAGCCGCACGACGCGCACCGCTACGCAGGTAGGCAGGCAGGCAGGTACCGCTACACGTGCCTGTCGCTACACACGCTCTAGCTACACTATGCTTGTAGCGCGAGTGGCTCGGCGACCCCGACTGCCCCGAGCCGCACGACGCGCACCGCTACGCAGGTAGGCAGGCAGGCAGGTACCGCTACACGTGCCTGTCGCTACACACGCTCTAGCTACACTATGCTTGTAGCGCGAGTGGCTCGGCGACCCCGACTGCCCCGAGCCGCACGACGCGCACCGCTACGCAGGTAGGCAGGCAGGCAGGCAGGCAGGTACCGCTACACGTGCCTGTCGCTACACACGCTCTAGCTACACTATGCTTGTAGCGCGAGTGGCTCGGCGACCCCGACTGCCCCGAGCCGCACGACGCGCACCGCTACGCAGGTAGGCAGGCAGGCAGGTACCGCTACACGTGCCTGTCGCTACACACGCTCTAGCTACACTATGCTTGTAGCGCGAGTGGCTCGGCGACCCCGACTGCCCCGAGCCGCACGACGCGCACCGCTACGCAGGTAGGCAGGCAGGCAGGCAGGCAGGTACCGCTACACGTGCCTGTCGCTACACACGCTCTAGCTACACTATGCTTGTAGCGCGAGTGGCTCGGCGACCCCGACTGCCCCGAGCCGCACGACGCGCACCGCTACGCAGGTAGGCAGGCAGGCAGGTACCGCTACACGTGCCTGTCGCTACACACGCTCTAGCTACACTATGCTTGTAGCGCGAGTGGCTCGGCGACCCCGACTGCCCCGAGCCGCACGACGCGCACCGCTACGCAGGTAGGCAGGCAGGCAGGTACCGCTACACGTGCCTGTCGCTACACACGCTCTAGCTACACTATGCTTGTAGCGCGAGTGGCTCGGCGACCCCGACTGCCCCGAGCCGCACGACGCGCACCGCTACGCAGGTAGGCAGGCAGGTACCGCTACACGTGCCTGTCGCTACACACGCTCTAGCTACACTATGCTTGTAGCGCGAGTGGCTCGGCGACCCCGACTGCCCCGAGCCGCACGACGCGCACCGCTACGCAGGTAGGCAGGCAGGCAGGTACCGCTACACGTGCCTGTCGCTACACACGCTCTAGCTACACTATGCTTGTAGCGCGAGTGGCTCGGCGACCCCGACTGCCCCGAGCCGCACGACGCGCACCGCTACGCAGGTAGGCAGGCAGGCAGGTACCGCTACACGTGCCTGTCGCTACACACGCTCTAGCTACACTATGCTTGTAGCGCGAGTGGCTCGGCGACCCCGACTGCCCCGAGCCGCACGACGCGCACCGCTACGCAGGTAGGCAGGCAGGCAGGTACCGCTACACGTGCCTGTCGCTACACACGCTCTAGCTACACTATGCTTGTAGCGCGAGTGGCTCGGCGACCCCGACTGCCCCGAGCCGCACGACGCGCACCGCTACGCAGGTAGGCAGGCAGGCAGGTACCGCTACACGTGCCTGTCGCTACACACGCTCTAGCTACACTATGCTTGTAGCGCGAGTGGCTCGGCGACCCCGACTGCCCCGAGCCGCACGACGCGCACCGCTACGCAGGTAGGCAGGCAGGCAGGTACCGCTACACGTGTGCCTGTCGCTACACACGCTCTAGCTACACTATGCTTGTAGCGCGAGTGGCTCGGCGACCCCGACTGCCCCGAGCCGCACGACGCGCACCGCTACGCAGGTAGGCAGGCAGGCAGGTACCGCTACACGTGCCTGTCGCTACACACGCTCTAGCTACACTATGCTTGTAGCGCGAGTGGCTCGGCGACCCCGACTGCCCCGAGCCGCACGACGCGCACCGCTACGCAGGTAGGCAGGCAGGCAGGTACCGCTACACGTGCCTGTCGCTACACACGCTCTAGCTACACTATGCTTGTAGCGCGAGTGGCTCGGCGACCCCGACTGCCCCGAGCCGCACGACGCGCACCGCTACGCAGGTAGGCAGGCAGGCAGGTACCGCTACACGTGCCTGTCGCTACACACGCTCTAGCTACACTATGCTTGTAGCGCGAGTGGCTCGGCGACCCCGACTGCCCCGAGCCGCACGACGCGCACCGCTACGCAGGTAGGCAGGCAGGCAGGTACCGCTACACGTGCCTGTCGCTACACACGCTCTAGCTACACTATGCTTGTAGCGCGAGTGGCTCGGCGACCCCGACTGCCCCGAGCCGCACGACGCGCACCGCTACGCAGGTAGGCAGGCAGGCAGGTACCGCTACACGTGCCTGTCGCTACACACGCTCTAGCTACACTATGCTTGTAGCGCGAGTGGCTCGGCGACCCCGACTGCCCCGAGCCGCACGACGCGCACCGCTACGCAGGTAGGCAGGCAGGCAGGTACCGCTACACGTGCCTGTCGCTACACACGCTCTAGCTACACTATGCTTGTAGCGCGAGTGGCTCGGCGACCCCGACTGCCCCGAGCCGCACGACGCGCACCGCTACGCAGGTAGGCAGGCAGGCAGGTACCGCTACACGTGCCTGTCGCTACACACGCTCTAGCTACACTATGCTTGTAGCGCGAGTGGCTCGGCGACCCCGACTGCCCCGAGCCGCACGACGCGCACCGCTACGCAGGTAGGCAGGCAGGCAGGTACCGCTACACGTGCCTGTCGCTACACACGCTCTAGCTACACTATGCTTGTAGCGCGAGTGGCTCGGCGACACCGGGCGGGACCATGCTCTCACACAATACCTCCTTAAAGCTGCTGTGTTTCGTATACTGAGTTTTTAAAGAACCAGAGACCCTTTTTACTGGATACCAGGCATTCTTTCTTTGTTCTTAAGGGTGGGTGACAACGCATCTGCATCTTGATTCTTAATCGAGGATAAATGTAAATGCCTATGGGTCATAGCAACCACTTACCATCAAATGAACTGTGAGCTCATTTATCACCCTTATTCTATAAAAAAAATTCAAGATATCTAGTTTTTATTCAAGTAAGGGTCAAACATATAAACTATCCACCTGATGGTAAGCGGATATTGTGACCTTTAGACACCTATATCTATGCTAGATTAAAAATCAAAATAGAGATCCGTTGTCACCCCTAAAGGCTACGATGAAATGGCTGATTACTACTTAATATAGACATTCCCAATTACCCATAGATTGCCTCATGGGGGGGGGGATAATTTCACTAATTACCATACTTGTCCAAACAGAATTTCAACGACGTTTCCTTATTCTTATTGGGGAAACGCTGCTGTCCATCGATCCAAGATGATATACAGTGGATTCTCTTACGTCACAACTTCACGGCGATTCACATTAATTACTCAGTCTGCTTCAGTGACGGCAAGGCACGAGCATTCGCAGCGATTATAAGTTAAAGTCTCAGGAAATAACAAAGAAATTCATCTGATATCTCTCGAAACTTTAACTTATAATCGTTCAGTTCAAGTAACTGTTATCTATACAAATAAATAAAATTGAAGTGTCTGTTTGTAATGTCAAAATAACAGCTTTTTACTAAATGCATATGAAAGTATATACGGTACTTATAACAAAAACACAACTTTTAAGACTGTCTGTCGGTCTGTTTGTTCCGGCTAATCTCCGAAACGGCTGGACCGATTTCGACGGAACTTTCACTGGCAGATAGCTGAAGTTATAAGGAGTAACTTAGGCTACTTATATTTTAGAAAACTAATTCTGGTTCTGCGCAACATAATTAAAACCCTAATTTAATAATTATTATATAAGTAGCCTAAGTTACTCCTTATCATATCAGCTATCTGCTAGTGAAAGTCCCATCGAAATCGGTCCAGCCGTTTCGGAGATTAGCCGGAACAAACAGATAGACAGACAGACCGACAGACAGTGTTAAAAGTTGTGTTTTTGTTATAAGTATCGTATATACTTTCATATGCATTTAGTAAAAAGCTGTTATTTTGACATTACAAACAGACACTTCAATTTTATTTATATGTATAGAAGATCATATAACATTTTTTTAAGTAATGGAGAAATTTGCAAAGCTTATAATGCAATACAATACATATTAACTTTATCGATTACTTTACAAATTGAGATAGAAAATTGTCATCTCGTAAATATTTAAATCTTCTAGGTAATTCCACTCAGCTGATACAAAAAGAACGTGGTAATGATTACCAGCCTACATAAAATTAAATAAAACTGCAATAAACTATTTATTGCAATTTTTCCGAGCAAAACCCAGGTTTATCAACTCAATATTGAATAATACAAAAATGTTTTTTTCTAAATTCTATTTTCCCTGCAGGTGTACACAGGCAGCCAACATTGTACTGCCCAACCCAAGACCCGTAGCCAAGGCCTGAAGTAAGTATTATCCTGTATATATACTATGTTTTTCAATTCCAAACTTTTATTTCGATATCGTTATGTACGGAGTGAGTAAAAATTTCGATTAGAATGAGAAATGGATGTGTTCTTTCACACACACACCAAGTATATAATTACGTCCAAAATCGCTAAGGTTCTTTAATGAGATCCTTAATAATCGCCTATGTCGTAGATCGATTGCTTGCAGTCGTTTTCCAAAGTACCTAAAGTTCACTTTCGCGTTCCCGAAATAATTAATTCTCCAATCGCGGGACACGCTTTTATACTCGATAAAAGGAATATACAACTTTCTAGGTCAATCCGGTTGAAAGAGTGGAATGACCTGCATTCCACTCTTTCAACCGGAATGTACAAGAACACTCGCGATTACATCAAGATTGCAATGTCCAAAAGACAAAAGGTTTTACTTAAGTAGAATTTATTTTATTACTTGACCAGCCATTGATTTTTACCGTCTGGAACATTTTCATGCAACGTGATTCAATACGCAAGTACTCAACTGGCTATCGTAATAATATAAAATAAGAAGAATAGTTTGATAAGATCAACCGGGGCAAGTGTGACACAAATTAATTAAAACTATAAGGGTCACTTAAATACTTCTACTCTAAAAGGATTTAACTTAGATAATTCAGTTTCATAACATGAATTAATAAATGGTTTTTTGTTTGATCAAGCATTCTAGTATGTACAAGTAGAATTTTGTAATTTGAGGTAATTAAAATTTAATTAAAGTGGAAGACTGTCACACTTACCCATCAATGAGGCAAGTGTGACAGTACGCTTTTTCTTGTAGTTACTTTATTACTATTTGTGGTTTTCGAGAAAATTGATGAGATGATACTAATGTCAATATATTATATTACGATCTATGAAAACGACTTGAACATCCATTCTTGTGTAAAAATGAATTTTTCCCCACATGGGGCAAGTGTGACTGTTTTTAACCGATATGGTGATATGTGCCATTAAATGGATTTATGTTTTGTAATTGCAATAAAAACAATGCCAAGTGAAAAATAACTTTAATACAGAAACGTAATAATAAATACTAATATTATAACCATAACGCTTTGGTACTTATATTATATGTCATATTTTAGTTATTGTAACAACTTTACGAGGGCGGCACTGAAAATTTCCGGAATCAAGGAAGTGACACAACTTTACTATTTAAAAATATATTTATTGCTTTTAGAAGTATTCTCCGCGAAATTTGACACATTTTTCCATGCGATGGAACCAATCATTGAAGCAACCATTCCATTCGGAAGTTGGGGTCTCCAAAATGGCCGTTTTGTAGGCGTCCACAGCTTCTTCAAGTGATGAAAATCTCTGTCAACGCAATATATTCTTTATTTTAGGGAAAGTATAGAAATCATTAGGGCTTAGGTCGGGGCTGTACGGCGGATGGTCTAATAATTCTATGTTTTCTTGCTCTAAAAACACTTTTGTTCTGTGTGCGGTGTGAGAACTCGCATTGTCGTGATGGAGGATGATGCGGCGGTTGCAGTTCTCTTTACGGAGTTCAGAAACGACCTGTGGCAAACAAATGCTAGCATACCATTCTGCATTAACCGTTCTTTGTCCCTCAAGAGGAATAGTCGTAACATGGCCGGTTTTGAAGACAATCGTGGCCACCATTTTTTTTGCAACACTCCGTGAACACACGTGTTGGCTTTAACTCATTTTCGAACACCCAAACTCGTGACTGGTTTTTTGTTTCGGATTCGTACGCGTATATCCAGGATTCGTCACCTGTTACGATGTTGTATACAGCATTTCAGGATCCTGCGTGGAATCTTTCGAGAGTTCTGACGCACCAAGTAACGCGAGCCGCTTTTGCTCTTCACAGAGCGAATGCGGTATCCATCTGGAAAACAACTTTTTTACACCTAATTTTTCATGCAAGATTATTTGTATTTGACTCATGCCAATGTCTAAAGTTGCCTGAATTTCACGGTATGTCACATGTCGATCTTCCTCAATCAGCTTACGCACAGCATCAACGTTTTCTTGGGTGACTGCAGTTTTTGGACGACCTTGACGGGGATCATCACTGAGCTTGACAAGTCCACGTTGAAATTCAGCAAACCAGCGATAAATTGTGGTTTTGGATGGGGCTTCATCACCAAATGCAGAAATCATCCGGTCAACACACTGTTTTTGTGTTAAACCACTTAGAAAATCATAATAAATCATCGCTCTTGAATTTTCTCGAGTCAATTCCATTTTCTCAACGACTAAACAAGTTTGACAAAACCTTGTGACAAGACCGAGAATCTTTTTTTAAATAAATATATGGTATTCAAATTTAAAAAACCAAGGACTTTTCAATTAAAAAAAATTAATATGACAGGAACAGTGGAAATATTCTATTCCCGATACTTTTAGTGCAGCCCTCGTATACTTTGTGACATGCAATAAATGAATTATGAATAAAAACTTATTAATAAATGTATTATTTAGCTAAAATTTAAAACAAAACAAATACATTTGGTTTTTTTTTTCTATTTTTAACCGACTATGTGTGTACTATTATGTGTTTCCTCATAACTTTTTTCTAGGTGAACCGATTTTGATGACTCTTTTTCTTTTTATTTGAAAGCTGGTGCTTCCCATGTGGTCCCATATAATTTGATCAAGGTCTAACCAATAGTTTTTAGTTATCTTAAATAATTTATATTGAATTTGGATGTACAAAATCCACTTGTGGTCTATATAATGCTTGTAATAAAGGACTTTGTACCGATCATTTTTTCTAAAATCTAATTATACTTGTATCTTCTTCTGTATCTGTTTCAATAGCACTCACTATTTCTGCTTCTAACATTTTTCTTTGACATGTATTTTTTACTTGGTATTAATTTAAAAAAGAGTATATACGTAACTATAAATACATACAAACACACCGGTACATAGCATCCTCTTTTTTTGAAAGTCGGTTAATCCCATCACTAGTTACGATATTCTCATACAAGGTGATCGGGGTAAGCGTGACACTGTCACACTTACCCCGATGTTAGGTATTAGGAGAGGTAAGTGTAACTGTATCCGTTTTTCAAGGAATAATGTATTTCAGGTCACAGAAACATATTACACCATAAGTACCAATATTACTCTTTATCACTCACCTTGTATGTTGTATAAAATAACTTAATGCCGTATCGAAAAACTTAAAAACTTTGCCTCTTAAAATTGCGCGTGATATCGCCAGTTGAGTAGTTTTTAAAAAGTGACCTCTGTGGATAAAATAGTTTAAGTTATGTGCTTTACTGTCGGTATAGTCAATAGCATTAAAAGTTCCTGCCATAGATAAATGATAAGTCATCGCGCGCTCTGACTAGATACCGCGCTCCCTGCAAGTAACAGTTCCGTGAGTGCGGCATCTTAATATTGTAGTGTGTATAAGACAATTTGCATGATGCTAGTGTGCGTGAAAAATTGTATATGCCAGCAGCTTAACTATTACCCGATTTACGGGAAAATTTATTTTATGCTATGGCTTAGTAGTTAAGTTCATAGTTATGAATGTATTCCAGAAATACTTAAAAATGAATAGTTTATTAATAACGAAAGTATCAATATATTTGTGTATATTATGTATAGGTTTTTCTTCTAAATAAATGACATATAAATGATAAGGCCTCCTTTTTATCAGTTTAATTTTTTTTATTTACATGTCTAACTAATATTCACAAATTATTTAAAAAAAATAGTTATATATATTGTGTAATCAAAATAGGGCTTTCTATTCTATGCGTCAATATGAACAACTTTTATAGATCTATCTTTCTAATCGCAAGAAAAATTAGGTCTTCCATACATTTTGAGCAAGTTTGTACGAAATTTTGTATGGAATAACTGACTTTGAGATATTTTTTATAGGATCAGGGTGACAAACGAGCCCTCAGTCCACCTGATGGTAAGTGGTTGCTGTGGCTCATAGACACACATCTATCCTCGGTTAAGAATCAAAATGCAGATGCATTGCAACCCCTGAGGGCTAAGATAGAATGCCTCGTTTCCAGTAAAAAGGGTCTCCGGTTCTCTACACTCACCATACGAAACACAGCAGCGTTAAGCTCCTATTTTTTACGCTGGTATTCTGTGAGAGCGTGGTCCGCTCCCGGTCGAGTTGACCCATTCGTGCTACAACTATACCAGTAATATAGCTGCAGTATGGGTCTATCACGTATAAATTGAAAATTTCGAAGATGATCCCATAATAAAGTTATTCATATTTACGGGCAGAATCATTCCGTAAGTTATTAAGTACTATTTTGTTACACCTTTAGTTAGTATATAAGACTGGGGAAAAAGTTTCTTCGTATATTGTATACAAATTAAAGACTTTTTTTTTAAAGTTTAATTACATTTAATTATAATATATATGGGTCCATTCTGTTCGATAATTTGTTACCATCTTGTAGGTAGTGACATAATAAAAAATAAACGTTGCTGTAGAAATCTTGGGATTTTGATTAAAAAAATGCGACAAGTAGTTTTATTTGATATATTCAATACCAGAGATTTGAAGGAACATGGATTTAGTCATCCCATTTATAATGGAAAAAAATTATAAACTTAAATATTAAAACCTCCAGAAAGCTTTCTTTTAAAGAACACAAGCAACAAAAGAAAATAATGACTAAAACTTTTAAACCAGTTTTAAGTACTCAAGCAAATACTGGATATTTAGGAATGTTAGTGTGTATTGAAAGTCTCAAACAGATAACTAATCTTGTGATCTGGCGTTATCGTGATGAAAGACCACTCCTTTTCTGATTATCAATGCCAGCCGTTTTTTTTTTCTATTTCTTGCTTGTCTCATTATTTATTGGTAGTAGAGATCCGAATCGATGGTTTTATCCGGCGGTAAAAGCACATGATAAACTTTCAATACCACCATACACACAGCATCATTTTATTGCGTGTTAATCCAGGTTTCGCTTTAGTCTGTA